TGTCCCCGTCGTCATCGTCCATCGTCATCGTCGCCATCACCATCATCATCAGCATCATCAGCATTCTCGTCGTCTCCATCATCAATACCACCACCATCCTCATCAACATCATCAAAACACCCCCTTGTTCCCCCGCGTCTCTGCTTCGCCACATCCCCCGCAAGTCTCGTGGCCTTGTGAGGTGCTCCACCGAAGGCCCCATCGGCAGGGTCCTTAGTGCGCCGCCCAGCCCATGTCGGCACGCCCCTCAGACGCTTCGTGTCCCCATGAGGAGCTCATCGGAGGTCCCGGCGGCAAGGTCCACATGCCGTCGCCCAGGCCACATTGATGACACCCTCAAACATTTCGTAACCCTTTAGGCAGCTCCACCAACAAAAAGGTCCCAGCGGCAGGTTTCCCAGGCCGCCGCCCAGCATATTTCGGCATACGTTTCACACGCTTCGTGGCCCCACGGGGAGCTACACCGACGGCCCCACAGGCAGGGCCCACAGGCCGCTGCCCAGCCCATTCCGTCATACGCTCACAAGCTTCGTGGCACCATTGGGGAGCACCCCCGATGGCCCAAGCGACAGGGTCCACATGCCGTCGCCCAGCCCATGTCGTCCACGAGTGGCGCCCAGCACGGCTCCAAGAGCGCCCCAAGAGGCGCCGAGTAAGTTGCACCCTCATGCAAATAGTTTTTGTCACTTGTGGGGGTCCTCTTGGGGCCCTCTTGGAGCATTCTTGGGGCCCTCTGGGAGCGTTCTTGGGGCCTTCCCGGGGCCCCAGTGGGCCCTCGGAGGGCCCCAAGAACGTTCCCCGAGGGCCCCAAGAGGGACCCCCCAAAGTGGTACAAAGAATTCGCGCGAACGTGCAATCTGTTGTAGGCCTTTCGGGGCCCTCTGGGAGCTCTCTTGGGGCCCCCATTGGTGGCGCCTTGGGGCCTTGGGATGGCTCCAAGAGGCTTCGGGATTGCCCCAGACCGCCACAAGACAGCTCCGAGACGGCCGTCGAGCACCACGGGTGAAAGCAAGTGAGGCTAGGGAACAGGGCCTCTGGTAAGCCGCCACTGCGCCCCCTAGACTACCCAGACAGCGAGGGGACCTGACACGCCCTGGGGCTCCAGGGGCCCCAGATTAGTAAAGTGAAGGTTTTTGCAATGCAAGCACCCCGAAATTCTTCACTTCACTAAACCGGACCCAGGACGAACTCGCTACGCTCCAGTCCCGCGGGAGATCCAAGACTCCCGCCGCCGCCCGGGGACGTTGCTGCATTGCGGTGCTCTGGTCACTGTTAATGGCTTCCGCGGGCTGCAGCGGCTCACTTCCATGACTACCCCGACTCACGAATCCAGTGGTTGGTCTGGCTCTATGGGTTGGTTTCGTTGTGTCGGTTGATTTTATGCTTGGTTGGCGGTCGGTGGATTTCGCGTTGTTCATTGGTGTCGTGAAGTGATTTGTCGTTTGGTTGGTCAGTGCCGTTTTGTTGATTCGTGCCGTTTTGTTGGTTGGTGTCGTTTCGTTGGTTGGTGTCGTTTTGTTGCTTGGTGTCGTTTTGTTGCTTGGTGTCCTTTTGTTGGCCGGTGTCGATTTGTTGGTTTGTTGGTTGGTGTCGGTTTGTTGGTTGGTGTCGTTTTGTTGCTTGGCGTCGTCCTGGCGGCGTGGCCGATAATCGGCGGCCTGCAATGGCGCCAGGATTTGTTTCGGGCCAGCCTTGATCGCCCTCATCATTCTCATATTCGTCAGCGTCAGCACTCGTCGCCCCCATCCGCGCACACATGCGGCCCTGGTACGGCTCTCACGCGGCCCTGCGAAGGCCTTCACTGTGCTCCCCAAAGCTTTCTGAGGGGCCCCCCAGAGGCCCCAAGAGGGCACTGGAAATTGTCGCTTCCAACTCCGCCAGGCGGAGGTCAACAAGGGTCTCACTGGTGCACTTCCAGGAATCGTCGTTCGATCCTCTTGGGGCCCTCCTGGGGCCTTCTGGAGCCGTCTTGGAAGCTCCGAGCGGCTCCATGAAGGCGCCGGGCGATATCGCTTCCAATTCCGCCAGGTGGAGTTAGACCAGGGGCTCACTGAGGCCCCTTTTTGCGCCCTCCTCTGCCTTTGAGAAAGCCCCGATGGGGTTCTTCAGTGCCGTCTTAGGGCCCCTAAGAGGCCTCCAGTAGGGTATTGCAGTTATCGCTTCCAACTCCGCCACGCGGAGTTGAACCCAGGGCGGCTCTCTATGGCCCTTTCGGGGCCTTCTTAGAGCTTTTCTGAGGCCCTAAGTGGGCCCTGGGAGGTGTCATTTTCACGGGCGTTGAAAGTGACACCGCGGAGGGCCCTCTTGGGCCCTTCTTGGGGCCTCTCTTGGGTCCCTCTGGGAGCCCTCTTGGTGCCGCCCTGGGGCCTTCTCGGGGCCTTCTTGGAGCCTTTCTGGTGCTCTTTAAGTGGGCCCTGGGAGGTGTCACTTTCACGGGCGCTGAAAGTGACACATCGAAGGGCCCGCTTTCCCTCGTAGCGCTGCCCGTGGCTGGGGCATTGTGCAGCGCATCCCTCGTCGAACGTATTTTGTCGGACGCGTGGTCGAATTCCGCCAGTTCGGTCGAGATGGTGGTCAAGCGGTTCGGTTGCAATGTAGCCATGCGGATCTGAGCTTACCATTTCTTGCCATTTTGGCGGGGATCGCAGGAGCGTTTGTGTTGTGATCAACTGTGCTCGATATATCCAGCGGCAGCGTTTCATCCCAATATATTATTTTGAAAAAAGTCAGCAGGGGCCAAATTGCTGATGTGAAGCAACATAGGTCTCGTACTGAGGCAAGAGCTGCATGTTGACAACGAGGGAGGCGGGCCTCGATGGCGGTGTTGGGGCCATCTCGGGACCAGCGTTGGGGTGGGGCTGTGGGAGGGGGGCGAAGGAGGAGGAGGAGGAGGAGCAGGAGGAGGAGGAGGAAGAGGACGAGGAGGAGGGGGAGGGGGAGGAGGATGAGGAGGAGGAGGAGGATGGGGAGGAGGAGGAGAAGGAGGAGAGGAGGAGGAGGAGGGGAGGGAGGAGGGGGAGGAGGAGGAGGAGAGAGAGAGAGGCATGATGGTCAAGACGAGGAACATGATGATGATGATGATGATGATGATGATGAGATGATGATGATGATGATGCTGATGCTGATGATGATGATGATGCTGATGATGATGATGATGATGATGGTGGTGGTGATGATGAGATGATGATGCTGATGATGATGATGATGATGATGATGATGATGATGATGATGATGATGATGATGATGATGATGATGATGATGATGATGATGATGATGATGATGATGATGATGATGATGATGATGATGATGATGATGATGATGAGATGATGATGATGATGATTGAGGATGATGATGATGAGGAGGAGGAGGAGGAGGAGGAGGAGGAGGAGGAGGAGGAGGAGGAGGACGAGGACGAGGGGGAGGAGGAGAACGCGGAGGAGGAGGATGAGTGGGCATCGCGGCAGCATCCTGGGGAGGCTCCGTGGCCATCTTGAGCAGTCTTGGAGCGGTCTTGGGGCCTCTTGGAGCATCTTGGGAGCCATCTGGAGCTAGCTTGGGCTATTTTGATCCATCTTGAAGGTCATCTTGGGCTCTCTGAGGCCCCTCGGGGGCCGCTCGGGGGCCTCTTGAGGGCTTCTCGGGTGCCCTTTGGAGGCCTCTTGGGGTTTCTTGGGGCGCTCTTTGGGTCCTCTTGGGAGCCTCCGGGGAGCCCTGGAGGGCCTCTTGGGGCCATCTTGGAGGCGGTCGGTCAAAAGAGTGGGGGTACTAGATTTGCGTCCCCCCCTCGGGGGCCACGATCCTCGTGATAAGTGGCAACAAATGGCCCTCTCAATGGCAGAAAAAGGAGCCTCCGACACATCGCGACCCCCTCCTAAACAACCTCAGGGAGGGGAGGGGGAGGGTTACCCTCCCCAAGGGAAGAGAGGTTGTGGAAGAGGACAGAGACCCTCGTTTGACCACCTGTCGCCCAAAGGGCTGGTGGGATTTTGAAAAACGAATGTGCGTGGTGCTAAGGCGAGAGCCACATTTTGAAAACGACATTTTGGAAGCGACCCGCCCTCCATCTGTGAAACGATTGTAATTTTCCAGCTTCTGGCTCACAGATGCTAAGGAAGTCTCAGGCGAAACGCCTGGCCCGCCCTTTCGATTGTCCTCGCGTTGGTACAGGGAAGAGTTCTCCATAAGGATAAGTTTTTGAGGAGGCGGAGGAGCAGGAGAAGGGAGAAGAATAATAAGAAGAATAATAGCAATAATAGTAATAATAAGAATACTACTAATAATAATAACAAGAATACTACTACTACTAATAATAATACTATTAATAATAATACTAATAATAATACTAATACTAATAATAATAATAATAATAATAATAATAATACTAATAATAATAATAATAATAACAATAATAATAATAATAGTAGTAGTAGTAGTAGTAGTAGTAGTAGTAGTAATAGTAGTAATAATAATATTAATAATCATAATAATAATAATACTAATACTAATAATAATAATAATACTAATAATAATAATACTAATAATAATACTACTATTAATAATAATAATAATACTAATAATAATAATAGTAATAATAATAGTAATAAGAAAAATAAAAATAATAAGAAGAAAAATACTAATAATAATAATAATAATAAGAATAATAAGAAGAGGAGGAGGAGGGGAAACAAAAGGAGGAGGAGGTGGAGGAGGAGGATGAGGAGGTGGGAAGGAGGAGGGGGAGGAGGAGGAGAAGGTGGAGGAGGAGGAGGAGGAGGAGGAGGAGGAGCAGGAAGAGGAGGAGGAGGAGGAGCAGGAGGAGCAGGAGGAGGAGGAGGAGGAGGAGGAGGAGGAGGAGGAGGAGGAGAGGTAGGAGGAGGAGGAGGAGTAGTAGGACCTCCCCATCCTCCCTTTGCCTCCATTCTGCGTGTGGCAGTGACGGTGGATAGTTGACCCCTCCTCTGCGCCGCCAGCACGGGTACCCTTCTGGGTGGCGCGGGCAGGGGCGGCGCGGGCAAGCCTCTGGCGCCCGCGTGGGGGCCGCTGGCGGCCGGCGCGCTGTGCGTGGCCTCGGCGGGGGCGGCCGCCGCTCTGGCGGTGCGCCGCGGGGGGGGGGAGGGGGGCGGGGCAGTTTTTTCGTTGATTTTCGGCCATTCAGTTTTTTTTAAGGGCTTTGGGGCCCTCACAGACCGATCTGGCTCAAGAGGGAACGCAGAACGAGGGGTCCGGGGCTCCGGTGGTGATTTTCCCTCTGTCAGGCTTGCCTCAGGGGTCGTTCCTTGGTTGAAGATTGGTGCCTCGGGTGGCTACTTTGCCCGTTCCTCGGAGGTTCCCCAGGTTCCTCGGGCTCCCAGGGCTCCTCCGGTTCCTCGGGTTCCCTGGGTTCGCCATGTTCCTCATGGGTTCCCTGGGTTCCTCGGGTTCCCTGGTTTCCCAGGGTTTCCCGGTTCCCCGGGTTCCCTGGGTTCCTCGGGTTCCTCGTGTTCCCCGTGTTCACGGGGTTTCTAAGGTTCCACGGGTTCCCCGGGTTCCAGGGGTTCTCCAGGTTCCCTGCCCCCTGTGTCTCGTATTCTTATTGTGCCCGTTCCAAGCAGTGCCAAACAATGCCAAGCAATGCCGAGCACTGCCGAGCACGGCCAAGCAGTGCCCAGCAACGCCAAGCACTGCCAAGCGGTGCCAAGCTGCGCCAGGCAATGCCAAGCAGTGCCAAGCAGTGCCGAGCACAGCGCCCCTGCAACAGGGAAGCTTGCCCCTCAGCGGGGCCGCGCCAGGCTCGCTCGGCAAGCACGGGCGCGATCGAGGCGCCGACGCCAGGGCCACCTCGGGGCCGAGACGTGGGGCCCCGCTGCTCGGGCCGTTCCTCCGTCCCGGGTCGGGGAAGGTCGGCGCGGCCGCGGCTCGCCGTGGTGTCGTCTTGGGCCCATCTGGGAGGCTGCTTGGGCCGGCCGTCATGGGCCCCCGAGTGTCGAACATGGCGAGAATGCGAAAATCATGCAAATCACAGGGGAGCTATTTTTTTGGCCTCTGGAGGTACTTTTGGGGCCCCCTTAGATCCCTCTGGGGCCATCTTTGGGAGCGTCTGTGGCCGACTTGGGGCCATCTTAGGCCGTCTTGGGGCCGTCTTGGGCCGTCTGGAGGCCATGTTGAGCCGTTTGGAGGCTTTTGGCTTTTTGGACCCTCAAGAGGCCCAATATTCCAAAATCATATGCTTTCCAATGCTCTAGAGGCCCAGAAAGGCTTGGTTGGGAGTGGTCGACGGGGTATGGGGGGGCGCATAATAGTGTAAGACAATCCAAGATGTAACAATGCTTTAGTAAAGGCATATGTACATGGCAGTTCGGTATTTTTTGAATATGCTGGATACGTTCCATTACAGCATGCGTGGACCTGCGGCAACAGGTTCCTTTCGGACGTGGATTCCCCTCGCTTCGCGGGGTACACGTCTGGAGCACCCGGGCGATGGGCGGTTTGCTCTGCTCGTCTACCGCGAAGTTCTGCCGCGTCGTTCTGCCCGGCCAGGGGCGCTGTTATCCGACGAAGGCGTCTATACACCACCACCGTGCCAGGCCAGGGCCATCCTGGGCCCTAGGATGGTGTATAGACCCTCCTGGCCGCGGCCAGGAGGGCGTATGCACCATGCCAGGGCCAGGATGGCCCTGGCTTGGCACGGTGGTGGTGTATAGACGCCTTCTGCGTATGTTAGCTCCACGGGGGGGCGGATGCGCCCCCCCCCCTTCCCGTTTCAGCGCCAGGGCGAGCGTGCGAATGTCCACGAGGGCATTGAGCGTTCACCGCGTGCCAGCACGAGGCAACGAAAAGTTCAAATTTCGATGAGCGCAGCAACAGCGCGCCATTCGTGTACAATTCCGCTGGCCTCTTGGTGGTTTCTTGGGGCTGTTTAGGGGCTTCTTGGGGGCCTCGTGGAGGCTTCTTTGGGTCACCTGGGGGCCTCTTTTGGACCTCTTTGGGGCCTCTTGGGGCCTTTTGAGGCCTCTTGGGACGTTTCGGGGCCCTCTTGGGGGAGTCACGGGCTGTCTTGCGGCGATAGTTGAGGCCTCTATGAGCGTCGGGGAGGCTGTCGAGACGACGGAGACAGACAATGGTGAAGCCGCGCGTAGGCAATGGGGCGATTTTCGCTCTTTGTGGCCCTTTCGGCGGTACTCTGGGAGCACTCTTGAGCCGTCTTGAAGGCTCAGTGGTGCGTTTCGACGCTCTCATGGATTATGCTGGCGCTCTTGTTGGAATCTCTTTGGCCGTCTTGGAACTTCCAGGGCCGTCTCGGGGCCACAAGGGGCGCCCAGGGATGGCCGGACCCCCCACCCGGATGAGTTCCCAGGCCCCCGGGGGGGCGCGGTCGAACTGAATTGCCGGTTTGGGGGCCCCAGAGGGGGGGGGAGAATCTCACACGCCTGGAGACCCGCAAGGGGTCGGCGTACTTTGCGCATTTAGGCAATCGCCGTCCCGGGCACATTGCTCACCACACCCGAGACCTGAGTTCGCTTCCCTCCCTTTGTCCCCCTCTCCTCCTCCTCCTCCTCCTCCTCCGCCTCCTCCTCCTCCTCCTCCTCCTCCTCCTATCCTCCTCCTTCTCCTCCTATCCTCCTCCTCCTCCTATCCTCCTCATCCTCCTCCTCCCTCTCCTCCTATCCTCCTCCTCCTATCCTCCTCCTCCTCCTCGTCCTATCCTCTCTTCCTCCTCCTCCTCTTCCTCTTCCTCCTCCTCCTCCTCCTCCGTTCGCCCTCTCAGCGCACGTCCGAAAGAGCACCGAGTGCTTCCCGAGTCCCTGGAGCGGATGCCCCCTGAAGGATCGCGAGCCCGCCCCCCCCCTCCCCCAGCGCCGCCAGGCCATGCGCAGGGCTGGCGCGCTCCTCTACCGCGGCCGCGCCCCGATTGGTCACTGTCGCCGTCGCCGTCGCCGTCGCTGTCGCCGTCGCCGTCGCCTTCGCCGTCGTCGTCGCCGTCGCCGCCGCCGTTGTTGTTTGCGACGTCGTCGTCGTCGTCGTCGTCGTCGTCGTCCTCGTTTGCGACGTCGTCGAAGTCGCCGTCGCCGTCGCGACGAGTACGGCAAACGGGAACGACGACGAGTGCGACGACGACGATAAGTTTCGACGACGGCTGCGACGAGGTGGCGAGCGGTGGCGACGACGACGACGACGCCCACACGTAATTATGACGATTATAACAGCGATGGTGACGAGAACTACGGCGACGCTAGATGAACTGGAAGGGGCGCATCAAAAGGGATGTGGAGGATTCTCCTCCTCCTCTTCCTCGATCTCTTCTCCGTATCCCTTTTTCCTCCTCCTCCTCCTCCTCTGCCCTCCTCCCTCCTCCCTCCATGTCATTGTCATTATCCTGTTCTTCTTCTTCTTCTTCTTCCTCTTTCTCTTCTTCTTTTTTTTGTTCTTCTTCTTCTTCATCCCGTTGGTGCTGCATTTCCTGCTCCCTCCTCCGGCCTGTCACGACTGTCCTCCCTCCTCCCCCTTCGCCTCTTTCGCTCCCTCCTCCACCCCTCCCGGGCGCCGCTCGAGCTCCCGCGCTGGCTCCCACGGTTTTTCCGAGCGGGGGTCGAGAGACCCGACGAGAGCCTCCCGAGGCCCGAAAGCCTGGCCGAGCAACACACTCGGCGGGCGGGTGAGGCGGGATGGTGCAGGAGGAGGTCGAGGAGGTGGCAGGAGGATGGAGGAGGAAGATGAGGAGGAGGAGGAGGAGGTGGAAGAGGAGTAGGAGCAGGAGGAGGAGGCGGAGGAGTAGGAGGAGGAGGAATAATGATAATACTACTAGTAAGAAGAGTAATCTTACCAATGATGCTAATACGAACATTACCAACAGTAATCGTAAAAGCAATATGAAGCGTACTAGTATTGATAATAAGAAAATGCGAAACATAATACGAACACTAAGAATGTCACCAATCATGAACATCATTCCCCAATCAGAGCTTGCCATTGTAGGGGTCCCAGCGGATTCATATGGTTAGGTGAGGTGCGTCGCCGATTTCTGTGGCTGGCCCGAGTGCCCTGGTGCCCGGGTGCCCAGGTGCCCGTGCGCCCGTGTGCCCGGGGGTGCCAGGAGGTGCATGGGGGTGCCCGGAGGTGCCCGGGGGTGCCCGGAGGTGCCCGGGTGTGCCCGGGTGCCCGGGTGCCCGTGTGCTCTATCGCTCTATAGCCCTATCGCCGTATAGCTCTATAGCCATATAGCCCTATAGCCATATGGCCCTATAGCCCCATAGCCCGAGAGCCCTATAACCTTATAGTCCTTAGCCATATAGCCCTACAGCCCTGCAGCCCTGTAGCCCTAGCCCTTTAGTTCTATAGCCCTATTAGCCCTATAGCCTTATAGCCCTATAGCCCTAGAGACCAACAGCCCAATAGCCCAATAGCCCCTATAGCCCTATAGCTCTATAGCCCTATAGCCCTGTAGCCCTACAGCCCTATAGCCTGATAGCCCTATAGCCCTATAGCCCTATAGCCCTACAGCCCTGTAGCCCTATAGCCCTACAGCCCTATAGCCCTACAACCCCATAGCCCTATAGCCCTATAGCCCTATAGCCCTATAGCCCTATAGCCCTATAACCCTACAGCCCTATAGGCCTATAGGCCTATAGCCCTATAGCCCTATAGCCCTAGCCATCATGGCCTTCATAGCCCTCGCAGACTTCATAAACCTAAGGAGCAATTGCAATGGGATCTCATGTAATTTCAAAAGAGACTCTGATTTTTTCTGATACCATATACAAGTATCAATAATTTCGAATAATCATAATACCATTGTGAATAGTAATACTAGCACTACTAGTGATACGACTAAGAATCATATTCAGAGTAAGGCAAGCAATAACAATAAACACTGCAGTATGGATCATACGTTTGTTTAAACATATTATGAACCATATTGTTATTAAGACGTTGCGTACGAACAACATAGGAATAGTAATACTAGGGCAACTCATACTACTGCTGCTGCTACTACTACTAATGATGTTGATCACATACTAGTAGTACTACTGATAATAACCATGCTACTATCAATGCTAATGCTAATGCTCATCTTTTTTATTCCTACTAGTAATACTACCACTACTACTATTGCTGCTACTACTACATCAACTACTGCTACAACAACTAATACTGTTATTACTACTACTGCTACAACTACTACTACAACCGCTACTATTACTACTACGACTACTGCTTCTACTACTACTTCTACTACTTTCACTACTACTACTATTACTACTACTACTACTACTACTACAGCGACTACTACTACTACGACTACGACTACGATCACGACTACTACTACGACGACTTCTACTACTACTACTACTACTACTACTACTACTACTACTACTACTACTATCACAACTACTACTATCACAACTACTACTACGACTACTACTACTACTACTACTACTACTATCACAACCATCACTACGACTACTACTACTACCACTACTACTATCACTACTACTACTACTACTACTACTACTACTACCACTACTACTACTACTACTACTACGACTACTTACGACTACTACTACTACTTTTTTTTTTTTTTTTTTCTTTTTTTTATTTTTTTTTGTTTTGTTTTTTTTTTTTGTACGACTACTAACTACGCTACTACTACTACTACTACTACTTCTACTACTTACTTCTACTACTACTTCTACTACGCTTCTACTTCTACTACGTATTACGTATTTGGTACTACGTACTGCTATTACTACTACTACTAACGACTACTACTGACTACACTACTACTGACTTTACTACTACTACTACTAGTACTAGTACTAGTTAAACCTAGATAATATACTAATACTCTAAATCACCCACACTACTACTACTACTACTACTACTACTACTACTACTACGATAATAATAGCAGTCGCAGTCGTAACACAGAAAGTATTCTCATACGCACCTCTCCGAGACAGTAGAGCTCAGAGGCGATTAAAGCGTACGCGCCGCGTCGTTCGCGTTTTTTCTCGCCGTTTCGCTATAGGGTGCTTTTTTTTTTTTTAGGTTCTTTTTTCATTTTTTTTTTTTTTATTTTTTTTTTTCTTCTTATTTTTCTTCTCTTTTTTTCTTTTTATTTCTTTTTTTTTTTTTTTTTTTTTTTTTTTTTTTTTTTTAGGTTTTTCTTTTGGTTTCTTTTTTTTTGTTTTATGTTTTTTTTTAGGGGAACATCCTCGACATTATGGAAATCGGTGGCACCCCTCACACAGGTCGTGACGTCAGGGTCCAAAAACACATGGGAATTTTAACATTTTAACATAAAGCCTTCAAAAACACATTGTAATTTCAATTATTTTGATTCAGATTCTCAGAGAATGGCGGTTTCGCCTGAGACATCCTCCCAAAATCGAGCCCCGACGTACCTTCTGGTACCCCAGACCCCGCCTCGGAGCCTCCTGGGGGCCTCCTGGGGCCTCCTGGAGCCTCCTGGGGCTTTCTGTATTTTCTGGTGCCCCAGACTCGGCCTCGCAGCCTCCTGGGGGTCTCCTGGAACCTCCTGGGGCCTCCTTGGGCCTCCTGCGGTCTCCTGGAGCCTCTTAGGGCCTCCTGGAGCCTCCTGGGGTCTCCTGGGGCCTCCTGAGGCCGCCTGGGGCCTCCTGGGGCCTCCCGGGGCCTCAGAACTACATGCACACACAGAGACAGAAATCACACCCAACACATTACACGCTAGACAAACATAACACACACGACACCTACAACGCACAGAAAACACGAAAAACACAGAGCACACATAACACACACACACACACACACACCCACACAACACTCACAATCCTGGGGCCTCCTGGAGCCTCTTCCGGTATCCAAATCGGGCCTCCTGAGGCTTCCTGGGGGGCCCTGGTACACACATCGCAAGGTGTGGCAACCCCACTTGCGCTCGAGTGCGACCTGGCTATTGCATTTCACTCCCAGCAGCTATCCTCCTCCTCTTCTCCTGCTTCAAACGCCCTTTCAGTTTTTTTTGGTATGAGCCTGGGCACATGTGTCCCACTAGTTAATTAGTAGCGTAAGCATAAGTATTAGGGTAATAATGATGGTAATAATGCTATTCGTACTACTAACAACAAGAAGGGAAGGAGGAAGAGGAGGTCGAGGAGGTGACTGGAGGGAGGAGCAAGAGGAGCAGTAGCAGTAGGAGGAGGAGGAGGAGGAGGAGGAGGAGGAGGAGGAGGAGGAGGAGGGAGGAGGAGGGGAGGAGGAGGAGGAGGAGGAGGAGGAGGAAGGAGGAGGAGGAGGAGGAGGAGTAAGGAGGAGGAAGGAGGAGGAGGAGGAGCACAGTGAGTGGCAAGCTTGCTATCAGCCCCCGGCGCGGGAGGTCGCCAGAGCCTGCCGCGGTCGGCGCCGCTGGCCGGTGGCCCTGCCTGCCCCGGCCTCCGCCGAGTGGTGCCTCCCCTGGGGCCGCGCGCCGACCCGAGCAGCGCCGTCACCAGGCCGTCGGGGAATGTGGCGGAGGGCGAGTAGCGACGTGTCACGGCGCATTCCTCCTCATCCTCCTCCTCATTCCTTCCTCCTCCTCTTTTCCCCTCCTCCTCCTCCTTTTCATCTCCTCCCTCCTCCTCCTTACCTCCTCTCCCCGACCTTCCCCTCCCCGATCCTTTTCCTCATCCTCCTGACACATCCTCTCATCTTTGTCCTCCCGCTCCTTCCTCCTCCTCCTCCCTCCTCCTCCTCCTCCTCGTCACTTTAGTGGTTTGCCGATCGGCGCGGGGTGCCCTCGCCCCCCCCCCCCCTTCTCCACCATGGAGCAGATCTTGGCTGCGTTGGGCGCCTGTCTCACGCAGGTGGAGTCTCCCCCATGGGACGCACTGGTGCAAACGGTCGCACTAAGCAGAGGTCCGGAGCCAGACCCCCCCCCTGCCCCTTCCCTTCCGC